CGTTGTAGGAACGTCCAGCCTGAGTGTTGACGTACATCAGGTACTGGAAGTTGCTAATTTCACCACGCTGTCACACAAAAAAGAACAAACGAATAATCAGCGTGAGAACTTCCATGAAGATGCAAATACGCGAGGGAGACAATCCCAGTGAACTTGCAAATAAAGGTGGACATAGATGCTAAAATGAGTCTCTAGGAACAGTGTGCTCGGTACACGTTATTTTAATGTGTCACGAGTCAAAAAAGTTGTAACAGGACTTTAGCACAGCAGAAATTGTACGCGGTTCAGACTAAAGAACACAGTGTACGTAGTATGAATTCCAATTACCTCCCACCGTTTCATGACTGTTTTCTCGCCCAGTAGACTGCTTAGGAGGCCGGAGCTTCTAAAATAGGAACATTTCAAACATCAAAAGAGGTAGGCAATCAGCTCAAAAAGTCATAAAAATGCATGATACTGGGATAATTTGGCAAGTAGAACGTATGAATCTCTTTCAGTAACGGTTTTTGTATGCACTTCACTAAATACTTCAGCGCAAAATTGTACCGTCCAGAACATTCCAACGTAATGTTCAGCATACTACTTAAACCGTTTCAGTAGCACTTTTTGGAACATTAAGTATTGCTATCTTACCACGCACTCAGTAACACATTTGTATTTAACCAGCGCTTGACATTGTGCTCTTTTTTCGTAGCACCATATGCTACGCCGATAGGGAGTTCAAAGGCACATGTCTCGATTTTATCTCATATTAACTGAACTGATAAAGTGCAGTCAAACAAGGAGTGGGGGCTACTACCCCCTGTTCCTTGACAGAAATGGCGGGGGAGGGGAAGACGAAATTCGATGAGGTAAAAACGGTGGGCCACATGGACTGAAAGCCTTAATTTTCATTAGTTCTGCGACTAAAAAATGCTCAGTGTAGGGCCGGACTTACGTGCGACTCGAGTTGAGAGAGCCGAAGCGGGTGGAGTTCATTGAATAGCAGACAGAATTGAAACTGGGAGAAAAAACAGAATACCAATGGCAAATGGTACGTAGAGAGATAATGAAAAGCGAAACGCGAGTCATTTTAGTTGTTCGAAGTTTCTATTGAGGAAGAGTTGAGAGACAAGAAAAGAATGCAAACTGAAAACAGCCCCCACTTTACCTAACTTAATCACCTCGTCTTATGAATGGACAGTGCAACTTTGCCTCTGCATCCTCGTTGCAAGCGAGTTGTAGTTTATTAACACGGTAAGTTTGATTAGGGTAAAACGTTAACGCATGTGTGCGCCTCAAATTAACGAAGAATCGAAAAACGAAAACATACAACTCTTAAGTACATTTACACGTAAATAGTTCATAGCATTGAAGTAACTGGTGCTTCGTGGGCCTAGCAACATCCCGTTGAGGCTACTATTCTCTTTGCTAACGAGTGAAAAGACCCCTTTGTCAACAAATCCCTCACAATGTACGTTTCAAGAAAATAATTATTGCTATTGAAATTAAATAAGTAGCACCGACGACAAACGACTACCGAGTTTGATAGGGCTCAAACTGACATGTAACCCCTGATGCCAGAAATGCAGGAATTGATCGAAGTAGAGGCTGGGTCTGGAAAAAAACAAAAGCAAAGGAGATGATGAAGACATTGGGGGTACGCAGCAGCCACCAACATCGACATTGTTTCGGGTAAGAACAGCACAGGTCATCGATTTGGCCTCTTCTCCAGGTCTGACTTTAGCATGTCCGCTGACGTCTTAGCTGGTCACCTCAACAGTAACAGTAAATCTCGCAAATATTCAATAGGACGAGGTGTTGAAGGATATATCGTTCGGATGGGCGAGGTGGATGACCTTCACCCTTTATGAAGTCGCCAGCAGGTTCGCAGAGTAAATTCACTATATTTTCTCGGACATCGGTTGTCGAAAACATAACTCCTTCTCAAGTTACCGGCGGGTAGGGGGGGGGGCGATTT